AATTACTGCCGTATCTACAGGTCCCTGATCCTTTGCAACACTGTCCTTTGAATTTTGCCTATCCCTATCGGATGTAGCTGAAGAACTAGATGTTTCTGTAGGAAGTGCAACCTCAGATGAATCACCAACACTGTCCTCAATTTCTGCTGTATCTACAGTTTTCTGTTCCTTTGCTTTCCGTTCTTTCTGCCTGAGCTTTTTCTGCCTTCTCTTTTGCTGCCTATAATTTCAGCATAAGAATCAATTAAAAACCACAATTAAAATTCCATCACACTAATCTCTGAGTTTTGCTCTCAAGGAACACTTTTTAAGAGATAAAAAACAAAGCAGTAAATGTGTAAAGGTCGCTCCAAAGTTTGTCCTAGGAGTGAATTTGGAATGGATTTTAGTCTTCAGAGATTTTGCATTACAGTTTTCTTCATATATTTTTTGGCTGGACCATGACAGATGGAGTACGAGAAATTTTATTTGATTAAAGGAATATGAGAATTCAAAAGCAAATTTACTAGATATATAAAAGTAGTGCCATGCACCTTTTTTGAACAGCTTCTTCTTCCTCCAGCAGCATCTTCTGTAACCTCAAAGCTTCAGCTTCCTTTTCAGCAAGCCATTCTTTAACCTAAATAAAACATAAATTAATTTGGTCAAGAACCGATAGAAAGGCAAAAGGAGTGCAACTGTTAGACACCCACATGCACAGCCATACCACTAGCCTCTCTGTGTCACAATGGTTAGAGAATTGCTAAAGAAAATAAGGAATTGCAACACTGAATTGTTCAATATTGAGTGTGCATGAAAATTTCCATAAGGATATATAAAAGAAAAGAAGGTACCAATTTCTGTTCAAACAGAAAGCTGGTACAAGCAACAAGGTTTTCGATTTCAAGACCAATCTTTTGTGCTCCCCCATCAAACATATATCTTTGCACCAAATCAGCTGTGCCACAAAGGAATGTCTTTTCACTTGCATCATCAAGGATGCTAAACAATTCCTGGGAGGATAAAGGAGACGTTGAAGAGCTAATTTCAACAATATCCTGCAGAGAATTGAGATATATGACTTCCACAGGACAATGATATCATGGGACTGTGAATGAAAGATAGCATGGAATTCTATGAATAGAAAACTGATTCCTTACAAGAAGAGCAGAACCAGCTCCCCAATAGACTCGTGGCAAAGCAGGCAACACTGAATTCCTTACAAGTTTTGTCAATTCTTTTATAACAGAAGACCCTGGAACTTCCTAGAAGGTCAAGGAAGCCATTGTTTAGAAGGACAAATAACGAAAAAAAATACAAAAATAAAAAGAATAAACAAGGACCTTGACATTTATATTTTAAGTTTGCAAAGAACAATGAATAATCCATTTCCCACTCACAAAGTACTGAAATGTCAACAGCATGCACATTAATATGTGACTAACCTGAATGTAATCTCAACGGTAGCATTAAATAAATAGGTCTAGAAAAGCAAAAGAATTACCTCCAGGAAAACATTATCAAATGATACAACTTCCCGTGCCTTTTCAACAGAAAGCTGCAAACAATATACAATGAACATGGTAATGAAATAGAGACCTTACCTAAAACAACGCAAAAGAAGAAGATAAAAGGGTACCTTATCCCAGAATGCTCCCAATGGATCCCTGATATTGGAAGAACCCTACAAGACATTAAGGAACAATTTAAGGGGAATCCTTTGAGATGTAAAACACCATTATAAAAATGCTGTAGTACTGAAAAAAAAAAAAAATTAATCATATTTACAGGACAGTACGGAGACCTTATCAGTCTTTTTCATTCTATGATGCACGTGTATATGCCTCCTGTAGTTAATGGGGGAAATAAATTCTTGTGAACATTTATCACACCTTTGCACGTGCACCTTCAAAGGAGCAGGAAAAGGCATCCCTGGAAGATCTGCCAGAACTATGGATATGAAAATCTAAACACATCTTCAACATCAAATAAAATATTTTCCTAAATATAATAATACAAAGGCCTTGTAAATTTCTAATTAAACAGGACATAAATCTTCCAGGCTCAATTTTCCTTAGCAGTGGCCTGAGCAGAGGTAACAACATTCTTGAAATTGACATTATCCCATATATAGGTACTCATTGTTCCTTTGGCAGGAGCCCTGCCATTTTTAGTACAGTGATTAGGTTCTTTTAAGTTTTAACCCATAAACCTCAGATTCATATGAACTAAAAAAATTAAAGTTCTCTGGAGATTGCCCTGTCTGTCTTCATAAGGTTTTAATCTATTAAGTATCAAAAAATTTTGCAATACCTTGCAGACCTAAATCCTTAAGCAACTGAATCCATTCGACAACACTGTTCTCGACCCTCTGGGAGGGAGTAAAGGACTCTTTTCTTATTGATTGTCTGTTGAAAATATCCAGAAAATCATCAGGCTCCTCTGATTTCATTATGATATCTTGAGAACTAACAGCCATGGGTTTTTCAGCAGGCATTTATACACAGAAAGAACGTGATCCCACTGCACCAAAAAAGTTGAGATGAGGAAAAGAAAAAATTAAAACGCTTAAAAATATTTGTCAATCATGCAACCAGAGTAGAAAAGGGGGACAATCAAACATCCAATATTGACTCAGAAGTCAAAACTTGCAAAATAATTAATAACTTATAAACATACATATTTCCTCCATCAATATCACTTCCTAAAATTGCCAAAAACAATACTCAAGATATATATATGGCATGCACCTTCACAATGGGACACTTAGTTAGAAAAATGCCCAGAACCTAACGAGAAAGAAAAAAATCTAGTGCCACCAATGCCAGAAAACACAAAAATTGTATTATTAAAATCAAAACCATTTCAAGATGATAAATAACTCAACAAATGAACCTTACAATGTCCCAAAGCAAAATAAATTCTTCATAAACAAATTGAACAGTTAATCTTGATTCTTGAAAATCCAAAACAAGAATATCACGTAAACTATGCAAACTCAAAATCACAAAAAAGAAATGATTAAACATACAATTCAAACTCTCACCAAAAACATAAAAAGATTACTTAAACTCTGTCCAGTTTCTTCGAGTTGAAAGATCAATTTTCCGAACCATTTCCGTCTTAGAAAGTTCTTTCACCAAACCAAATACAACATTGAGCTTAACTCCAGCGATTTCCCATTTTCAAAGAACAGAGGATTGAAATTCTTATCTAAACTAATTTCTTTCTACGTTTCTTAGCTTCCAAACAGAGCAAGAATCAAATTCCACAAAAGAAGAACGGAAGAAATTCAAGAAACAGAAATAACGAAAAAGACAAGGCCAGTTAGGGATTGGTGACAATGATCTGTAAACAAGCCACGGTACTCGACACAGAAATTTGGGAAAAATGAGAAAAGACTGAGTGAAGTGATCGGCTTACGTACCAGTGAATGACTGACGGACGAAGCGGACAGATCGGTTCGAGGAAAGAGAAAATCTCCAGCCACCGGAGGGAGCGGATGTAGAGTCGAGAGGAAGACTGTTGGAGAGTGTTTGGCGAGAGCGAAAATCGCCGCCTGAGGAAGTGAGCGGACGAGAAAATTACGGAGAGAGGAAAAGAAAGTTTACAGGAAGCGATTCGTAAGAGAAATATATAAAATATTGTCGCAGGCGAGAAGAAGAAGGGAATGAGACGGAGTGATGAGTCAGATTAATGGCTGATGTGGCAAGCAGGTTAACAGAGTTATCACTCTGTTAATTTTTTTTTTAATTTAATGATAATGATAATGATTACATAAAAAA